AATGGCATAAGAAAAACAAAACAAAAAAAAAACATTATTTTCGAAATGATTATTTCTGGAATAAATTATTTCAGGAATAATGTTGAGAAATAATCTTTCTGATCGACTTTTCAGATATAATCAATATCCGGGTCGACTGTTATGTTTTCGGGGGCGCTTATTATAAAAATAGCGTCAAATTTGAGATTGCGCTCCCCCTCACCCTCCCACATAAACTTTTTGTAACTTTTCAGATATAATCGATATCAGGGTCGACTATTATGTTTTCGGGGTAGCTTATTATGAAACTAAGGTCGAATTTGAGATTGCGCCCCCCCTCCCCCCCCAACCTCCAGCATTGACTTTTTGTAACTTTTCAAATATATATCGATATCAGGGTCGACTATTATGTTTTCGGGGGCGCTAATTATAAACATAATGTCAAATTTAAGATTGCGGCTCCCCCCTCCCCTCGCTCCCACATCGACTTTTTTTTTCGAAATTTACAATAAGTCGATGCTGGAGGGGAGGTGGGGGGGGGCGCAATTCCCAAATTCGACAGTATTTTCATAAAAAGATACCCCGAAAACATGGTGTATATTGGTAATTTTTTTGTTATTTCAGAACAGTGTTATTTCTGAAATATTTATTTCTTGATTTTTTGCAATAATTTATTTATGAAAGAAATAATTCTGAAATAATAGTTATGAAATAATTTATTTCAGAAATAACTCATTTCGAAATAATTTACTTTATTCCAAAGAATGTTAAAATATTGAAATAATTATTTCAGAAATAAATTCAGCAGTTATTCCATCGAGATTATTTCATTGACAGTTTGAAATATTATTTCAGAAATAACCATTATTTCGGAAATAATTCATTCGTGGAATAACCATATGCCATGGAACCATATATGATAACCATATATGATTTATTTTAGAAATAAATTATTTCAAGAGTGCCCAGGTCTAGGTAGTAATAGTGCATGACTCAGTAGTGTTGTAGCTCTTATTATGTAACATTGTGTTTGTTTTCACACCAATAAAGCTTTTTTTAAGTTTTTCGTGTATCCGAGTTTATTATTTTCGAATAAAATGGTCGTATAAATTATTTGGCTTTGTAATGAAAGAATCCCTAAAAGGTTAATAATTGCTGTACTGAGTGGTAAACATTTGAGTAATAGACCAAAGCGAATATGGGGAGATATAATTAAGGCTGACCTAGTGGCGTTGGATTTGGATGGTGACCGGTGGAGAAAGTTGGGTGGACAGAGATAGGTGGTGTAGGCAACGAACCTTCGAGTTCGCTAAGCCTTTTATTATTAACTGATTCTTCTAGCAGTTCTGCAATCACTTTAACTTATGATATGTAGTGTTAATAGTTCAAATAGAGCATAATAATTTTGAATATCTATATTCGTATTAAGGGGTCCTTCTTTTAGGCAGTATTTAAAATATTAAAATTCACTACGCAAACCATTTAAAAAATAGATAAAAAAAAAATAAATATTGATTTATTAGTTTGGTCTCGAGTTCATTGCGTTTAGTGAAGCGATATCCTACATGGAAAGACCTCGAACATTTCTCAGTTAAAAAGGGCTCCAAGTACGAATATGGCCATTACAGAGGCTCTTTTTCTGGATGCCTATAAAATAATGACTAATATTCTGCTAAATCGGATCTATCCGTATTATGAAAACATAATAGGCGACCATCAAACAGGATTCAGGAGAGAGAGGAGTACACTAGATCAGATATTCATCCTAAAACAAGTACTTGAAAAACGATGGGAAGTAGATCAGGACGTGCACGCCTTATTTGTCGACTTCAAAGCAGCCTATGACTCCGTGGACAGAAACTGTCTCTGGAAGATCATGACTGAGCTGGGTGTTCCCGAGAAGTTAGTGAGGTTGACAAAGGCGTGTACATATGATCCTAAATGCAGGGTACTAATACAAGGAGAAGTAACTGTAGCCTTTGAAGCTCGAACGGGTTTGAGGCAGGGAGATGGACTCTCGCCAATGCTGTTCAACTTAGCCCTAGAGAAAGTAATAGGAACAATATCACGCGAAGATGGAGGGGCGCACGTCGGAATGAAACACAAAATCCTAGTAAATGCGGATGACATAGCTGTCCTCGGAAGCAATCAATAGATATTGAGAGACTCGCTTGAACTCTGTTAAAAGAAGCAGAGCAAATCGGACTACAAGTCAATGTAGATAAAACGAAATACACGATAGTTACCCGAAACATTCACCCTAATACCATGATCTGCGTGGACTTTAAGTCATTCCCGAAAGTAGAAGGATTCAAATCCCTCGGCTCCACAATAATCTCAATAAATGATCAACGAACAGAGACAGACCAGCGAATAACAAATGCGAACAGATCTTTCTTCTCTCTTTCAAGGGTACTGAAATCCAGAAAAATCTAAAAATAAGGGTGTTCACCGCAGTTATTAAGCCAGTTCTGCTGTACGGTTATGAAACCTGGGCTTTAACCAGCACACTAGAAGCCAGAATTGAGAGATTCGAAAGAAAAGTTCTCCGTAGATAACAGACTATGGACCAGAACCTTGACACATGGAGGAGAAGGGACAATAAAGAACTGCTGAAAGAAACGGGTCAGTCAATATCTCATAAGATGAAGGCAAGGAGGATAAGATGAGCGGGGCATGTAGCTCATAGAAATCCATCAGGACGCCTTTACACAACAATGAATGCCAGAGTAGTAGGAAAGAGATCAAAAACCAGATGAATAGATAAACAAAGATACGGCTGAGCTTCATGCCGCAAACTTTAAAGCAGTGGCCCAAGATAGACAAGAGGTGGAGAAGGCTGGTTCAGGCGGCCAAAGATCTACAAGGTCTGTATAGCCAACCGAAAAAAAAAAAAAAAAAAAAAAAAAATATATATATATATATATATATAATACAGGGTGTTTTAGGGTTAAATGGTAAAACTGCAAAAATGAACTAAGGACCTCAAAACAAGAAAAAAATTTCCTCTGAAGGTATGTCCGCAAACGCGGTCCATATTAATTAATTTGGACTTATTAAAGCTAGATAAATGTGGAAGTTTTTCTAAATGTGGGGTAAATGCAGTACAGTTGAAGAGTGATAACAAAAAATCACAGATAATCTTCGTAAGATAAAATAAAATTCGAAACAATCCGGCCGTTTGGTAGTCGAGACGAATATCGGACTCCGGGGACCGTCGCCGCAGCTAACGTGTTAATAATGATAAATTTATAGTGTTAAACGATTACATATTACTCTATTTCACACAATCATTTTACACCAGATATATTCGAACAAAATCAAACAACCTTCCAAGGTGCACGTTGAAATCAAATGCAATTATATACCACATTAGATAAACATTAACGGTTTTATAATTTCAATTATTAGAGAAACTATGGAAAATAATATTCCATTTTAGAACTTTTGCAGCACAATAATCTATTTTTTAAAAATAAATCATGATGAGTACCATATCATTTATTATACCATAAAAGAAAACTACTTTAGTTACTTGAGATCTCAATAAAGTTAATTACCATCAACTATACTCATGTTTTAAATGTTGAAAGTAACAATAACTATAAAGGAAAACCAAATTTCAATTTTATACTAGAAACCACTTACTTCAAAATAAAAATTGTGTTAGTTACTGTTTTATACAACCATTTGATATTCTAATTGATACCTTATTAGAACGTATCTATAATACTATACGTATCAATAATAATGCCCAACAATACTTGGAGGTGGCTGAAAAGAAGTTAAGTGGGGAATCTCCTTCCTTAACTACAAATAGTTATACAGGATAGAAAGGAGTGCTTCTGTGCACTACTCTCCCTCACATCTATCATTGCCTTGACACCAAATTCACTGGTTCTCATTATTTCTGATAGATTTTGGTGAAGAAATATAGTAAAAATTTAAAAAATAAGGTTCAGAAATGGTTTTACTTATGAGTACCATTCAATCAATTCCATGAATTGATGATTAACATTCTCTGTTAAGGGCACAATAGGAAATAATCATGTGCGCGTCAAATAGCGCACAAAATTAACGCAATCTTCGAAGCAGATACAATCGAACAGCTCTGATTTTGTTCGATGGCATGAAAGACCCTCAGCCTATGATTGGTATTCACCTGCTAGCTTTCAATTTCAGCCTATCGTTTACTAAAACTGGAATTATAGAAAAAACTTAGCAGCTAAAGCAAAACTTAAAGAAGCAATGTTATAAGAATTATTAATTAATTATGCTTTCTTGACTACATTAAAAATTTTGGTGAAATTGACTTCGGCACGCCAGAAGATTTTATTCAGGTTATAAACAGCACTAAACTATGATGGATCAGCTAATAAAAACAAACAGTTTTCCCAACTTTAAACTGAGCTAAATAATTAAATAGGCTAATAATTAAATTAATTGACTAGAACAGTACATATTGGTAGGTTATTCTAACAAATGTATTAGCACTGAATTATTTTATCTCAAATTACAGTTTTGTTTTTGTTGACCCACTGTTTCTATTCACCCCATTTTACGGTACTCACGATTATAAGTCTATGAAGATGAAACCAAACTTATCACATTAAACACTAAAAAGTATGACTGTTAAATAAAAAGTACACATTAATAAACTAAATATATCACTAAAACAACAAAATTAAAGTTCTAAACTAAAATATTAATAAAATAAGAGTCTATTAAGATGAAAACAAACCTATCACTTTAAACACTAAAACGTATAACTATTCTGTAAGAACTACCTGTTAATAAACTAAATCTATCCCTAAAACAACAAAATTAAACTCCTAAACTAAAATATTGCTAATAAATTAAGAAAATTTAGCAGTTTTGAGGTGGCTATAAAGCAGGCAAGTAACAAGAGACGAACCAATATGGCCGACCAATCAAATAGTTGACACCATATGGCTGAACTGTATTGTTAAGTCACTGTAATATCTATGGTGCAGTAGCTTCTTGAAATTTACTACCCACGAGGAAAGTATCGATACTACATTAAACAAACGTGCTTTTGTTGGGTGTTTTAGTTATAGAAATCTCTTATTTTAATTGTAATTTAGAATTATTAAGATGTTTCAGCCCATTTTCGTGTTAAGTATGTTTTAATTCTGTAACCTTTTATGATATTTAAGAAGTTTCTGTGATTATCAATTTTGTTGATGGTTTTACAGGCCAAAACTCTAAAAGGGAATCAGGCAATAAAGTTCGGACTGAGAATATTGCTGCAGCCAAGGTATCTTATTATATTTTGTTTTTAATAATTGCTTTACAAGAATTTGTAGTATTTTTAATTATTAAGTTGAATGATTATGGTCGTTTTAGTTTTTTAATCAGATTCTTCACTTCTCTATCATAGAATAATTTGTTTTTCGTTTTTGATTGTCCTTACAATCATCATATATGCCATGATTTGAATATACTTAAAATTAGTGAAGTTTACTATAGATTCAGTATTGTTTTAACACCAGATGTTTCAACAATTGAGAATACTTGATTTGATCATATGAAAAGCTAACTACTTGACACAATTTTTCTTGATTGTTTTAATTTTATTCATCAAACAATAAAAAATACTACCAATATTGGTAGTTTGTTTATTTATATATAATTTGATTAATTCATGTAGTTTTAGTTCAGTATTTAGCAAGTTTCTAAACTCAGCACTGAGCACATTAATGGCATTGTAAATAATTTGGGCCATCTCAAGTCATAGTTAAAATTGGGGTGCCTCTTTAATTATCAATCATATTATTAATGGCTCATTGATTCCATTTGTTGGGATAGATGGAGTTATCTCGGTTATAACCTATAATGTAATAAAGAATACCTTTGATGTTAGGTTTTAATTAACTCATAGAATTCAATACTGTTAATGGATTCTAATGTTTTCTAAACTTATCTTAATTTAAGTTAAGATACATTAATAAGACTCACCCCATCTAATGCAGTTATGATTTAATATAGTCTTTTAAGAGGTCTTTATTCTTGAGCTAGCTCGTGGTAGGGGCCTATCCTCAGAAGAGTTGTTTACTGCTTGTCCTTGGTATTCGTTTTGCACATCATATTCTGAGGAGTCATCTTCCAGAATAGATGGTATGACTACCGAAGCAGGTCTGACATGCTCCTCCGCTTCAGTGACGATCAGTGTCACCTGATTGCTATTTATCTCCTTGCATATACGGTACAGTTTCTTTTGTTCCCAATAAAAGCAAAATATCAATATCGTTGTTTTCCTTCTGTCTGGATAGCGAATATGAGCATATGCAGCATTACATCAAAGAGTGTTACCTTCTCTACAAGAGGATCAGATTTGGAATGATGAATGAACTGTTTTTAAAAAAACAGGGCCAGAGTTCTTAGGCTATCTGGGAAGTGATTCATCATTCCTTGTATGTCTGGGATGATTTAACGTCCTTTCATGTGGTGTCTCATTAGCTTCTGTACACAATAGAGAACTCACAAAATGTAGAACCTCAGATAAAACTGATTCCCTTTTAGTTATAGGAAAGTTTTTAGATTTGAGTGCTAGTAATATTGTCTTCAAGATAATTCCGTTATACCCTTCAACTTGACTGTTATCTTGTGGATTGTAAGGAGTTGAATGCGATGCCATTATATAAGAGGAATGTTTGTGATTCCTATGAAATTAGCGATATACCTCTATCTGAGTGGATGTACGCAGGGGTGCCAAACAAGTAGAACAATTGAGTCAGAGCAGCTATCATAGAAGATGATGTCATATCTCGGCAAGAAAAAGCAAAGGGGAATCGAGACTTTATCTCAGCACATATATCACATAATGAGGTTACTCTTTTGATCATTTCAAGGGAAAAAGATAATTTCTTTATATTTAACCAATTATATGTTCTTGAGATTCCAGAATGACAAAGAAACATGTAATTGTGGAAGTCGGCTATCAGAATCATCCATACTTAAACAAATTTGAAGGAATGCATCAGCTGATGCATTTTCTTTGCCTGGTCTATACACAAGATCTTAACCTTTTTGTTGCTGCGAGTGATGAGATTTACATCTACCAGTGCTGAATAAGACGGCGGCCTGACAACTGGCCTGTGCTACACACTTTTTACTGCTTTCCACCCTTCGTTACCGTCTCTTACTACTACCTTATTTTATTGTTTCCATCCCCCTTTTAGATTCAGGCTATGGACCGACATTGGCGGAGTTATAACTTTTTTTTTCTAATAATTTTTTCAACTTTTGTTTTTTATAAGTTTAAATATTTATTTAATAATTTAATTTTGTGTGATAATTGACGTTGATGGAGCTGTTCAAATATAAGGAAGTGATGATATTGAAGGAATCGAAATATCTTTCTCTGTTCTTTCACTGTCACTCACTTCAGAATCAGACGGCAGGAATTCATCACCACTTTCGGCAGTAGTAATAAATTCGGCAGCTTCTACAGCAGTAAACCACTTTTTCTCCATTTGAAAAAAGATAAGGAAAAAAAAAAAAAAAAAAACGATTAACTCCATACTAAAATAATTAATCTATATGGCCATGTGACTAACTAAACTAATCTTATTTGATGTAATTACTAACTAAAATAACTAAATGAAACTAAATGAAATTTATAAAAAACAGAGCAGTTGAATACAACATTGTTTCATTTAGAATTTAAAACAAAGAATGAAAATGATCCAGTCAGCCAGAGAAAGGCCATAGCAGGTAGTAATCCATAACAGTTCATGAATTCTACAACAAAAGCTCCAAAATAAATCCCCACGCCATCTGTGTGTGTGCTCTAGTTAGAAAATTTACGTCTCTAGAAAACCAGTAGAATGTAGCAAAATCGACACGACTATAGCCGACATTAGCAAATACAAAAGTAAAAAAGCAGTGTTGCGACTATAGCCGACATTAGCACTGAGGATAGGCAGTGGGACACTCCAACTATAGCTGTCATTAGCAACAGTCGCACATTCAGTTGGTGCGACTATAGCCGTTGTTAGCAGTTAAAGGGTTTATGGAAGCAGGATAAGCTCTAGCTTAAATTTTTTTCATTTTTGATTTTCCCATCATGCATAAAACTAAACGTTAAAGTTACTGAATGCTGGTCCATAATAAGATGGACATAGCTTCCCCATTTATGGATTTCTTCTACTATTTTAAAGGCTTCCTTTTCTACTGATGAGTGCTTTTGTTCAGGACCTGATAAAGTTCTTGAAAGAAATGCTACAGGATGGCCGTCTTGAGTAAGATTGGCAGCTGTAGCATCATTTGAAGCGTCAGTTTCCTCAGTGAATGGGGCATCATCCTCAATTGGAGTTGAAGAGGCATTTTCAATTTCCCGTTTAAGATTGCTGAATGTATGTAATGGGTCTTGGGATAAGGGAAACGCACAGCATGTTATTAAAGGCAGTATTTTCTTAAATATCCAAGGGGCTTGATGGATTTTAAAGAATACAGTGTTAAATTGTGCTTTTGAGCAGCATTCATAATTTTTTCAGATTCTTGTTGTGTTCTTTTTGATCTCTTCCACAAACAGTGACATTGTCAATATATGCAAATGTATCCTTCAAGCCCTCATTGCGAATTATTTGATCCATCATTGGAGTGGAATCCTTTTGAACTGGAAAAACTGACTACACGCTTCAAAAGCAGTATAAGACTTATCTCCATCTTATATAGATATTTAATGATAAGCGTTACATAGATAAATGGTGCTAAATACCTCGTAATGGGCTTTAAGTAATTGTAAATCTTATTTAACAAGGACTCTATTCGAGGAAGTAGATATGCGTCCAGGAGAGTGTTATGGTTTATAGTGCGAGAGTAATAAATCACCATGTGTCTTTTATGATTGTTACTTGAGGTAACGAGTATTGGAGCTCTCCAAGGAGATATTCTCGGTTCAATCTCCTCGTCAGTTAGGAGGCGTTCGATCACAGCTTCTATAAATTGGGAATCAGTTTTAGTTTGTTGACGAGACTTTATCGCTATTAGTTTACAATCTGGTGAAAGATATTCAAAGATTGAAACTGTAGTTTACTACAGCAAGAACACACACAGTGAGCGTTACTTTGGGTTCACCAAAGGTCAGGTTCACACTTCAATGCTGCTTGAGTTTATCATGACCAATGACCATATCGGCGCTTAGGTCAGGAAGGACAAATAGTTGAACGTCTTTATAGTAGTGACTTTACATGTTAATGTCAACTACACATTGGCCACAAGTTCTAGAATAGAGAGAAGTAGATGCCATTGAAATTTTCTCATTGATTGGCTTAATTTTCAAGTTTAACGAAAAGGCGGATTTTTCACTAATGAAACTGACAGAGCTTCCAGTGTCAATTAACACACAAACCTCTGAACCACTAACAACAGCTTTGGCTGTTTATTAAAACTACAAAAATTACATCTGACAGAGTTTACATCTAAGGTTATATTTTGTTCTCTAATATAACCAGATGTAGCACCCTTATTTTGTTCTCTAATATAATAAATTTAGCTTCCTTAGCCTCCCCGTTATTACTAGATTTGCAATTAGGTACTGCATTGACGGACCTATGTGAATGAAAATGATCTTGCCTGAACTTGAGCTTGTTCATGAGCTTCCTTTAATGTTAGCTCGGTACTCTCAAGTAGCCACTGGCAGATGAAATTTTATTGTATACCAGTTATAAATGAGTCTGATAAGGTCATTACGATAAGTTTCAGCTGTGACTGCAAAAAAATGACATTCCTTACCTTAAAACCTAAGGGCCTCTTTCTATTGATCAATGAATTCATTAGGTTGCTGTGAGCGGGTATTCAGTTTATAGCGTGCAAAAATTTTGTTGATTGGTTTTACATAGAGTCCCTTCAAAATTTCTACTGCCTCACCATATGTATTTTCGTGACTTACATCTTGGTAGACATCAGGAAATGTGTAGTTCTAAAAAAGGGTTGTTTGTCTCCTGCAGCATTAAAGTTTTCAAAATTTTTGAACCCATGTTCCCAGTGTTTATCCGCGAAAATTGAGTTGGGTCTACATGGAAGAATAGAATATTTTTTTATTGCATGTATGATTAATTGTTCTAGTTATAATAGTAGTTTATTTATTTTCTAGATGATTGCAGAAGTTATTAGAACTTGTCTTGGACCACAGGCAATGCTTAAAATGTTAATGGATCCAATGGGTGGTATAGTTATGACCAACGATGGTAATGCTATTTTGAGAGAAATAACTGTTCAACACCCTGCTGCAAAAATGATCATTGAAATTGCTAGGACACAAGATGAAGAGGTAAAAAATGTTTGAAAACTGATTTAATTTTGGAATAATCTTGAGTTTGATAAATGTAATTTTAATTAGTGTTAAAGATTCAAGGGTTAATGTTATATTAGATTCAGACAGTCTTAAAAAAATATTTTGTTAAAATGTTGCTACGTTTTGGGCTTTCTGCTTTTCTAAGGCAAGTGAGGGTACTGAAAACTTAATTTATGTGTATTTACTAAAATTAATTTCTTTTTTATTTATTTCTATTTTTATACATTCCAGAAGGGAACCAATGCATTTAAAAATATACTAATTAAATATTTAATATAATTCTTATTGGATAATATTTTTAATAGATAGAAGAAAAACTTTAATCGCTGTAAAGATTGCTGAAAAGTGAACTTTTCTTTTTTTACAACACAACTAAGTCTGTTGTGATTGGAGATCTGTTATGATGTCATAATGACTATATCCCAATTCATGGGCAGTTCAAAAGTTTATAAGCTAATACAAAAATAATTAACCTACAGATTTGTGTCAAACTTTAAAATTTGTTGTTTTAAATGCAAATCTATTTTTCTAAAGTTGTTTAATTAAAATCTGTGACAAATGCATATACCCTATTTATTTTTTTGTATCAGTTTTGGAAATGTACTGCATTGGAACATTTTACACAACTGATTTTTACTCATCTTGCCGCACTATGTGATTTGAAAAAATTATAAGTTGTTTACCAGTTGGTTGAATGGAACTCAGAAGTTTGACATATTTCAGTGCATTAGTTTTGAAACATTCGAATAGATATTTATTGCATTATCAAATATTTCCAGTACAGTTATATCAATTTGATCAAAATGTGTTTGACATGTTTGAGTGCATCAGTTATAAAAATTTGCCTGATTACATAAAGTGAAATGTGAATTTATGTTTAAGCTTCTAACCTACTGGGTGTGATATAACTTTTGTTTAAAATCTCCTCCAAACAAATAAAATCTACAGTTAGACCCTTGTTAACATGAAAGTTACTTTCTGTTTTACTAGAAGGGTTCTTTCTGTTTTATATCTTATTATTTTAACTTGTATTTAATTCTAAATGTTAAATATTTTATTAGCAACTATTGTTTTAGGTTGGAGATGGCACTACATCAGTTGTGATTCTTTGTGGTCAAATCATGGCAGAAATTGAAAGACATATAGATGAAGTCCATCCTACGACAATCATTAAAGAATTTAAAAGAGCTTTGGATGATATTTTAAAAATACTTCCAGACATAAGGTAAACAATCATTACTTATACTTGAAAAAAAGAAGAAAAACAGGTGATACAACAGAAGATAAAAATTTTTTTTAGAATTGCGTGTAAAACCTTGGCCTGGGAATTAAGAGTCCAGTATCTTAGCTACTGGGCTACTTCATTCATTTTTTTTTATTTTTTAACTATCTTCGTTTCTTTGGAAAGCGGTTATAGTATATTTTAATGAATTGCTATTTAATATAAATAGGAAGTTTTACAGAATTCTAAAGATTGTCTAGAACTTTAACACTTTGCTAACCCACTCATTTTAGAAATTTTAAAAGTTCATTCTCTAATGTACTTTTATTTTATTTGAAATAATTAACTATTTCACATTAAACATCACACAACTTTCAATTACCACTCTATTAGCAGAAATAAGTATTTTCAGACAAAAGGGATGTGAAAGTTATATTTATTTATATTTTTAGTGTGGATATTTTTATTTGTTTAAGTACATATTATATGTACAAATTTTAATATTTATATTGCTGCAATCTATAAAATTAAATATTTAATAATATCAACGATAGTATTTATGAAACCGCATATGTTTATGTATATAATATTGTCAGAGTTCGTATTTTATTATTTAGCTCATGTTACGTATTGAAGCCTGTTGTAATGTTTCGGGCGAGCTCGGGTGCGATCATATTTTTTTGGTTCCTCTACAACTATTGTCTGTTACGATCTCTTATTTTTCCTTTAGTTAATTATCAAATTCTTTCATATTTTATATTTAACAATTTTTTATATCAGAGATCAATGTGAAATTGTTTCAACTAAAAAAAATTTAAGGTACTTTAGCGGAAGCTAATATTAAAAATTAGCCATTTAAGCCCTGTTAGAGAACATCAATGAGAATAAAACCTGCATAATATTAAAAACTGCTTAATTTTACACTAACATAATGAATTTAATCAAAATCATTAAAGCCATTTTTGAAAAAATCTTAAAAATGTGCTTAATCGATGATCTGGCATTTCCAAGTCAATTTCAACCTTTTCCAAATCAAATTCAACCTTTTCCAAGTCAAATTAAACCTTTTCCATTTCAAATTCAACCTTTTCCAAGTCAAATTCAACCTTTTCCATTTCAAATTCAACTTTAGAATTTTTGTCAATTTTCGATTTTTTTCGAAATGAAGGCCACTTACTATATTATCGACGGCATAGCTTTTAAAAAATACAAAAAAAAAATTGATTACGCAGTTGCATATCCATTTATTTTAACATTTTAGATTTTTTCAGTGTGATATTTCTATGTGATATTCAATTATTTCCAAGTCAAATTCAACCTTTTCCAAGTCAAATTCAACCTTTTCCAAATCAAATTAAACTTTTTCCAAGTCAATTCAACCATTTCCATTTCAAATTAAACCTTTTCCAATTCAAATTCAACCGTTTTCATTTCAAATTAATGTTTTAAGTTTTTGTAAATTTTATATTTTTTTTTAAATAATGGCCATCCCCTCCCTCCCTCCAATATGAAAGTCTATTATTATGCTCTCCTAAGTAGAATTTTCACTTACGGATATCGATTTATTGTACCTATTCGGATTTCTTAGGGACTAGTATTATGCTGTCCTGTACCTAGTTTTGAAAATAACCTCCATTTTAAGATTACGTGACTGCGTTTCGAATCATTTAAGTTTTTTTGACAAATTCGATATGTGGGTGTAATTTTATGTTTCCCGATCAGTAAATTTTGAAAATGACATCCATTTTATGTTTACGCCACTGTGTTTTGACTTATTTAAGTTTTTAGAATTTATCCAATATAAAGGTCTACTTTTATGTTTCCGGAGCCTTAGATTTTGAAAACGACCTCCATTTTAAGATTAGGCCACCGCGTTTCGACTTATTTGAGTTTTTCGGATTTTTTTCATATGAGGGTGTATTTTTATGTTTCCGGAGCTGTAGATTTTGAAAATGACCTCCATTTTAAGATTACGCCACTGCGTTTCGACTTATTTGAGTTTTTCGGATATTTTTCATATCAAGGTCTATTTTTATGTTTCTTGAGCCGTAGATTTTGAAAATGACCTCCATTTAATGATTACGCCATCACGTTTTGACTTATTTAAGTTTTTCGGAATTTTTCCAATATCAAGGTCTACTTTTATGTTTCTGGAGCCGTAGATTTTGAAAATGACATCCATTTTAATGATGACGCCATTGCATTTTGACTTATTTAAGTTTTTCGAATTTATCCAATTTAAAGGTCTACTTCTATGTTTTCGGAACCGTAGATTTTGAAAATGACCTCTATTTTATGATTACGCCACTGTATTTTGACTTATTTAAGTTTTTAGAATTTATCCAATATAAAGGTCTACTTTTATGTTTTCGGAGCCGTAGATTCTGAAAATGACCTCCATTTTATGATTAGCGCTGCACCGCGTATTCGACTTATTTGAGTTTTATTCGACTTATTGAATATGTTTTCGAGTATGAATAAATAAATAAATATTATGAAGCTAAAGTTAAATTAACCACAGAATACAAACTAAAAAGCCGAAAAGCAGCTGGTAATAAATTTAACCTTCCGTATTAAGATTTTTTAGCTAATTGTTCGAAATCTTATAATTTTGTGACAGGAGACCACAACATTAAAAAAGATAACTAAAATTAAATTAAAAATGAGACAATACATATTTTATTTATTTTGATTAGATATTATTATTTATTTATTGAAAAATAAATTAATCCTTCATATTTTGTTTTTTATTCGAAGGAAAAATCAAAAACACTTAAAAAAAACCGAAACACAGTGGCCTAATCTTAAAATGTAAATCGTTTTAAAAACTAAGGCTCTGGCATCATAAAAGTAGACCTTTAAGTTGGATAAATTCGAAAAACTTGAATAAGCCGAAACGCAGTGGCGTAATCTTAAAATGGAGGTCATTTTCAAAATCTACAGCTCCGAAAACATAAAAATACACCCTCATATGAAAAATATCCGAAAAACTCAAATAAGTCGAAACGCGGTGGCCTAATCTTAAAATGGAGGTCATTTTCAAAATCTACAGCTCCGGAAACATAAAAATACATCCTCATATGAAAAATATCCGAAAAACTCAAATAAGTCGAAACGCGGTGGCCTAATCTTAAAATGGAGGTCATTTTCAAAATCTACAGCTCCGGAAACATAAAAATACACCCTCATATGAAAAATATCCGAAAAGCTCAAATAAGTCGAAACGCGGTGGCCTAATCTTAAAATGGAGGTCATTTTCAAAATCTACAGCTCCGGAAACATAAAAATACACCCTCATATGAAAAATATCCGAAAAGCTCAAATAAGTCGAAACGCGGTGGCCTAATCTTAAAATGGAGGTCATTTTCAAAATCAACAGCTCCGGAAACATAAAAATACACCCTCATATGAAAAATATCCGAAAAGCTCAAATAAGTCGAAACGCGGTGGCCTAATCTTAAAATGGAGGTCATTTTCAAAATCAACAGCTCCGGAAACATAAAAATACACCCTCATATGAAAAAAATCCGAAAAACTCAAATAAGTCGAAACGCGGTGGCCTAATCTTAAAATGGAGGTCATTTTCAAAATCTACAGCTCCGGAAACATAAAAATAAACCTCATATGAAAAATATCCGAAAAACTCAAATAAGTCGAAACGCGGTGGCCTAATCTTAAAATGGAGGTCATTTTCAAAATTTACTGATCGGGAAACATAAAAATACACCCTTATATCGAATAATTAAAAAAAAACTTAAATAATTCGAAACTCAGTCACGTAATCTTAAAAAGGAGGTTATTTTCAAAACTAGGTACAGGACAGCATAATACTAGTCCCTAATAAATCCGAATAGTTACAATAAATCGATATCCGTAAGTGAAAATTCTACTTAGAAGAGCATAATAATAGACTTTCATATTGGAGGGGGGAGGGGATGGCCATTATTTAAAAAAAAATATAAAATTTACAAAAAATTAAAACATTAATTTGAAATGAAAACGGTTGAATTTGAATTGGAAAAGGTTTAATTTGAAATGGAAATGGTTGAATTGACTTGGAAAAAGTTTGATTTGATCTGGAAAAGGTTGAATTTGACTTGGAAAAGGTTGAATTTGACTTGGAAATGACATAGAAATATCACACTGAAAAAATCTAAAATGTTAAAATAAATGGATATGCAACCGCGTTATCAAAATTTTTTTTGTATTTTTCAAAAGCTATACCTTCGTTAATATAGTAAGTGGCCTTCATTTCGAAAAAAATCGAAAATTGACAAAAATTCGAAAGTTGAATTTGAAATGGAAAAGGTTGAATTTGACTTGGAAAAGGTTTAATTTGAAATGGAAAAGGTTTAATTTGACTTGGAAAAGGTTGAATTTGATTTGGAAAAGGTTGAAATTGACTTGGAAATGCTATATACCAATGCTTAAACAAATAAAAATACCTACAAGGGATTATAAAAAAAATATAGCAGCCTTCTTGATCCGTGGAACTCTTTTCAGACTAAAAATATTGCGTGGCATTTGATTATTTGTTATCATGAAATAAATAATTAAATTGTACAGTTGTTAAAGGAATTGGTTAGTGACAAAAAAAACGTAAATATATTATATTAGAAAGCTGTGAAAAATATGGTAATTAATTGTTTTAAATTATACTTTGTACCGTCTATAATTTTCACTTTCACTTCCCTTTGTCTTATAATACATATTTCTGCTAAAAAGAAAGAGTGGTAAGTAAAAGTTGTGTCATTCACCCACTGCACCAGATTCTTTTACTACGACCTGCCCTTATATGCATAATCGAATTTACCTACAAATTGTCGAATGTTTTCTCAAATTTAGTTTTTCTCATTCTGAACTCTAGGGTGTCCAGTGTATGGATATTTCCCAAAAAGCAGAAATTGTAGTGAATTACTCATGTCTGGGAAAAAATGAGAAATTCCTGAAAAATTTATTTATATTCAACAACTGTGTAAACAGGTTGACCAGAGACCGAGAATTTCATGAAAAAAACAGAAATTTCTCATGTAGGAGATAAAACTTAAATGTATTGAAATTTTCAAAAAATCCTTGGAATTTTTAAATTTATTTTTTAGAGGAAGGAGATGGTCCGTGGTGGCAGTCATAAAAATCCTAAAATACTGAAGAAAATATTTTATTTAGTTTTTCCACTATTTTAGTATTTTTATGACCACCACCATGTACCATCTCCTTCCTCTATTATATCCAACAGTCAACCATCAAGTATTCAATATTTAATTATTTTATTTTGCTTCTTTTGTGGTGGTATAAATAATGTTATTTGTTTCTTTTCTACAATTATTTATATATTGTTGAACAACAATACATTAACAAAAAAACTAAGGACGGAGCAACTGTCAATATGTAATATGTTCTGATGATGAGAAGAATATTTCCCGAAACATTCAACAAATATAAAATATAAAAAGATGTCCTGTATATAGTTGTTTATTGTTTCTTGCTGCTGGTTTTGGTTCTTCATCAGGCTGGATAAAATATAAAAATTAACAAAAATAAAACAAAATTTACAAAACAATCTATAAAATGAATAACCACTTAGCAATTAAATACAATTGCTACTTCATATAATTTATGATGGTTCTCCTCTCCAACTTGTCAGTTGAGGACTAAAAATAAAAATTAAACTATTGTCCAGATAGGCTACCCCGCCCTCCCTCACCAACTAAGTCTTGTTTTCATTGGCCGCTGCTAATTTAATGAGTGCCGAATCCTCCAGTTGAGTATCCTCATTGTTTTTCTTCTTGATCTCACTTTTTAGGAAAATCTATTCTTTTCTTCTTAGATAAGGCATGTAAGAGTTTTATGGTACTTTGTTTTCTCTTCTCCCTCTCTCCCCCCCTCCCTCCCGCTGTACATCCAATATCCTAACTTAACTATTTGCTGCTTATTTAATTAGGGCCAGGTCACCAAGATTGGTAACCGAGCGGACAGGCCTTTTATATAAAGTGGGAGACTTTAATCCAAATTCTTGAGCCAAAGTGAGGCGAAATTCAGTCTGTTAATTTTATTGGGGTATTAATACTGGTTATACCTACACTAATGAGTTGCCTGCAATTGGAGGGCTATTCCCTCCAAATAAGACTCCAGTAACTTCCTACCTACTTTTGATGGGCCTAATTAACAGTTTATTTGTAATATTATAACTAAATCATAAAATTATCATATAAAATAACAATAGCATTAAATACAAAGTTTTACAGTATCATATTGATTACTTTCTATTTTTTATGGTTTAAACAACAAAAATATTTCTAAAAATTATAGGGACCTCTTAACACTCTAGGGAAATCTTCATTCCACAATGTGTTGTGCAAACTTAAAGGATTAGCAATCTTAGGGATTAGCGAATGAGTCATTGTTCAGCTTATTTAATTAATTTTAATGCTGCTAAAAAAAGGACTATGGCAAATTTGTGTCACCTAGTTAGTGATTGCTACCTGAAGTGAAAAGGCATTTGAAATAACATACAAAAATGGCAACAAAGTAGTGCGTGTGTTCAATGAAAACAAAACTAAATACCTAAAACTTTCCTCGGCAGCAAGTAGAAGATCCTGCAGTAAAATCAATAAGGAATTTCAGGTTTGAAAATGTATCAATATTTTTGTATCTTGGCCCTGCCCTAAATATTGAAAATTTAATCAGCCAAGAAAACAACAATAGAATAAGGGCTGGTAATAGAGCCTACTATTTAAACCTTAAAGATCTCAAATTTACATTGTTGTCAAAAGCTACAAAATTAAAGTTAAATAAAACTGTGGGCATGAACAGATGATTTGAATTGAAGGAGCTTGGAGATATATGATGGACGGTGGAATTGGATAACTTGGTAGAGAAAGGATGCCAGGATATATTTACAATGGAAGGATAAAGCTATTTCAATTCTTCATAGAAAGGGAGAGATAGAGGCGTCCCTTGGGATACCGAAGATGAAACATACAAAGCAATTTATCAACTGTTTTAGTTTTGCTTCAAGATCCTCACGATACACACCACGATATACTGCACAACAGTGATCATAGTGGGAGAATATTAAGGAAGTAATAACGGGGAAATAAATAATTTAGTTGCTTTAAGGTGGAATAGGCACAGCGGGAGATATTGTATATATGGTTTTTCCAGGAAAGATTTTTATCTAAGGTTATTGGTAGGATAAAATTTGATAGGATTATCATTTAAGTACAGGGTCAGGATATTGGGAACAGTTTTAAGGTAATTGGAGCCTATTACGATTGCCATTGTCTTCTCCTTATTCAACTTCAACTAATTAGCTTTTGCCCTGTCATAGATTTTATTTAAGTCTTGATGTTTTTCTATGGCTGGTAATAGTTCGGAAAGTGGGAAGGATAGGTACATTTGGAAGTCGTCAGTATAAATATGGTATTGGGAATGATGAATTCTTTGAAGAAGGTCATTAATATAGATAGCAAATAGAATTGGGGATAGAGACGAGCCTTGAGGGATGCCACAGGTAAGGGGTAGTGTCTTGGATGGAGGTTAGGCATGGACGATCATGTACTGTGACTGATATAAGAGGAAGGATATGAACCAACCAACTCAAGGCACAGTATTTTCCATATGGATCTGGAATCGGGAACCGTAGAGAGTGCATTATGGAAATGGAGGGACTTAGCGAGTTGGACTGCAGTTTGAGTTTCATTCCAAAGTTATTTGAAGGACACATAATCACCTGGTGAACAGAACCGTCAAACGACGATACTTGCGTCTAGCTGCTTCTCTTCTTTTCATCATTACTTTTATTTCAGGGGTCAGCAGTACTACTCTGTAGGGCGGCAGATAGTTCAGCGTTTTAGAGGAGCACGAATATCTAATACATACTGGAGATTTGAGGTGAGGGAGGAAACCATGGGGTCAATAGCATCATAGGAGTATGTGATATTCCATTGGATAGAGTCTAGGTCAGGTTGAAAGGGTTCATAAGAAAGGAGATCCAAACTGTGATATGATATCATTTTCAGAGTAAAAGATTTGACTGGTAGATCATAGGAAATATGGATTAGGTCATGTGATGAAAGAAAGGGAATGGGGAGCTGAGAAGAGGTAAGGATTTTTATGGATGAGTCAGTGATGTAAAGATCCAACCAGATATCAGAACATTGAATGTGATGGGTAGGAGAATACGGAACAAGGTAAAAGAGAAAATAGTAGATCAATGAGAAATTAGCATTGGATTCCAAGAGTAAATTTATGTTGAAATCGCTATTGATGTTTACATTGCAGTAAGTGGAGACCCAATTGACAAGCGAGGATTTGAAAAGAAAATGGGACATGAGATCGGTAGACTATGGCGTATAATATAGGATATGGTAAAAATTTTGACAAAAAATATTCTACGTCTAAGAATGTCATAAGTGGGAGACTGGAGGGAGGATTTTGGTCTTGAGACTGTCATGAATATAAAATTAACAATTGATGTTGAATGCCAAACATCAGAAAGAGTGTCTAATGCTCAACTTTTAATGGGAATAGAGTAGATGTAGATGGAGTTAGCACTGAGCGGTGAGAAGACAATAGAGTCAGAGCTTGTTGGCACAGCAGTTAAGGAATTTAGGTATTGTAATACCCTTATCTCTTAATTTGATATTAACGCCAAACTTGGCATGCTGGTCCGAAGTGCCTAATGTCATAACCGCTACTATAATTTTAAATTCATGTTAACTAAAGTTAAAGTAATTAGTAAAGTTCAATATTAAAGATTACCTATTAGGCTTTTTAGAGTAAAAAATATTTGTCCTTACTTAAGAGTTCAGTAAATTCTTCTTCGTTTATGCTTCCATTTATGACTTCTCCCTCAAGTTCTATTTCATTAATAACTGATATTTGTTTAAATATTTTTATTGAAATGTTTATAAGCATTATATAACTCCCCATTTTCTTTTATATCTTTTTTAGTACTTCTCTTGATCTTAAGGACAAAGCTAAAGTGATAGAAGTGGTTAAAGGATGTTTAGGTACCAAATTTTTAGGTACTTGGTCTGAAATGGCTTGTCAGATGGCAATTGATGCTGTAGATACTGTCAGAGATCTAAAAGGTCTTGGAATTGATTTAAAAAACTTTGCTAAAATTGAAAAGGTAATGATTTCTCTTCTGGACTTTTATTTCTTTTAAAATTAATATGCTAATTTGTATTGTTACTTTAAATGATGCAGGTTCCTGGTGGTTTTATTGAAGATTCTAAAGTATTGGAAGGTGTAATGCTTAACAAAGATGTGACACATCCCAAAATGTCACGGTTCATTAAAAATCCACGAATTTTATTACTAGATTGTTCTCTTGAATATAAGAAAGGGGAAAGTCAGGTTAAAGATAATTTAATTTTTCAATTTTTTTTTTATAAATTGGTTTATATTTATTAACATATTTTTATAATTTTATAGACTAACGTGGAAATAATTAAGGAAGGTGATTATACAAGGCTTCTACAAATTGAAGAAGAGTACATTGAAAAAATGTGCAATCATATTATTGAGCAGAAACCTAATGTTGTCATTACTGAAAAAGGAATTTCCGATTTGGCTCAACACCATCTTTTCAAGGTTTGAACCTATTAATATCTTGGTTGAATATGCATTTAATTATCATTTGCCTGCATATTATATTTCTACCCATTAATTATTTTTGTTTTAAATTACTATGTTTTTATCTAGGCTGGTATTACAGCCATTCGTAGAGTTAAGAAGACTGATAATAACAGAATTGCTCGAGCAGTAGATGCAACTATTGTTAGTCGTGTGGAAGAAATCAAACCTTATCATATTGGTTGTGGTGCTGGTCTCTTTGAAGTAAAGAAGGTTTGTAAGGATTAAGTTTATAATATTCTTTATTATTAAGTTCATTATCTCAATACTTTGTAAGTTATTGCTTATCTGGCATTCTGTTTATATGGTTGCCTTTTTATCCAGTGCTTTCTAAGGCATTAGTCTCAAAAACATAGCTCATGGAGTCTCCAAATTTGGCCCACGAGCATTTTCTATCTACTGTGCCAAGGATATTTTGATTTCTTTGGATAATTTAATATTTTATTTATTAGTTGGTGATAAACCAGTAAAGCACATTAACACTAGGTTGTAAAGACTGTATGTGTCACTTGGTATTTTCTTATAAAATAATAATAACGGACCCTAATGTCAAATAAATCCAAAATTTTACAAAAACTCTATCTTGACAATATGCTGTATATCTTGGATTCCTTGCACACTTCATCTATAACTCTGGACTAATGTAATATTTGAACTTTGGTCTCTTGTTTCTAGCTATCACTGTCCCTATATCATTTGTTTTCTGTACCTTTTTATATTTTCTATTAAACAAACAGTTTTTTTAATTAATATTTTTCTTTTATATGCTGATTTATCTATAATTATTTGATTTTTATTATATTAGCATGTGTGTCAAATTTTTTTTGTACTATTTCTATAATTAATTATATAATTAGTTATATTATTTTTTTTTTTTTTACATATATTAGATAGGTACTGTATTTTTCTATTTTTTGTTATTATTTCACTGTCTAATATGTTTGACTTGTGAAAATCAAATTTACGATGCTGTGATATATCAATGCTACACTATTGGTATTTGTTGTTTTTACAATTTTGTTTTGTGTTGATTGACTTATGCTTTTAACTTTTTTGAGGTTTCTTCTATTATAATTCAGGCAATCAAGTCATTATATTAGCTAAGCTGTAAATTTTATTTTTTTATGATTTTATTGTTATTATAAAGACCAAATTTTAAATTATGTGATCTTATACGTTAAATACTTCTTTTATGTTTCCTGTAATTTAATTTCAAATATCTGTTTTTCTGTAACTGGTTGATTGCGTTAGTATTATTCTTATATTTATTTTTATTGTTACCATTATTTAACACTTCTTTATTTTTGAAAAAAAAATATTAATTAATGTTCGTGTTTTTTTTTTATCTTGTTCTTGTTTTCAAAAGTTATTTGGTTTATGTTTTCACTAAGTCATGGTATGGTAAAGTCTGCTGTTATTAGTAAATCTATTTTTGTATCCTTGTTTTTGTTATTTTTGGGCATATTTATTCATTTTTCAGTTGTCTGTGAAGAGTTCATTCCTGATAAGTTTGTAAATGTATTTTTAATTTAATAAATTTTCCATTTTATCTTCGTAATCTACTCTAGTTAAAATAACCAATTTCTTTGTTCAGTTTATAACAGAAAAATATTTATTTAAAAAAAAAAAACTTAATTTAATAGAAAATAAAAAAGGTTGTAAGGAACAAATAATAATGTCAGACCAGGATAGTGGTAGCTAACAACAAGCGGCCAACATAAGATTTGTCCAATTATATTATAAGGCAACTTGGCAATTTGTGCGAGGAACATAAGATATGTATTTTTATGTATGACAATATTCATGACATGAAAGATGACATATCTTTCAAATTTAAACTGACAAGGTAATATATCTTATGTAGCATTACATAAATTGTTATAATTGAAATATTGTAAAGTATACTTAAAGTTGTACTATTGTTCACTGATTTTAGGAAAGAATAGTGAGATGAGGATTACTGCATTTAAACAATAATTAGCATGTGATTATTAATGAAAATATGATAAAAGTATGAAAGCTGATTAAAATACTGTGGATCTTATAGAAACATATTATTAATGAAGCATATTTTAGAATATGACTTTCAATTCCTCTCTCAGGCAGTACTGACAAATCGTATAAATTTGAACTAGGTCATACTGACTTAAAAAAAATTCTCTGAAATTTGGTTTCAGTTTTATGAACAATTGATTGAAAAATAGTGTTATAAATTAAAAAAACAAAACAACGATTCATTTGTCTTTAGTAGATTTTGAATAAAAGACACTTAAGATTGCATCATGAAGTTAAAACAAAAAATGCAATGTTATTGAAGTTATTAATTTTTTTTAAGATAGGAGATGAGTACTTCACTTTCATTACTGAGTGTAAGAACCCAAAAGCTTGTACAATTTTGCTGCGTGGTCCAAGCAAAGATGTGTTGAATGAAGTTCAGAGAAATTTACAAGATGCAATGAATGTTGTCAGGAACTTGTACTTGGATCCTCGAATACTTCCAGGAGGTGGTGCTGTAGAAATGGCCCTACATAGAGTAAGTTTATTTGTATATCATTATATTAATTATTTAGAAAGTTGTATACTTCAATTTTTCGACATTAAAGTAAGATTTAAAGTACAATATGGGTAGAATATTTATAATAAGAATGTACTATAAACTATTATAAGAAGCTGTTTAACTATTTAGTTCGAAGAAGTCATTTTGATCCACGAATGCATCAAATTCTGATCTACATTGAACATGACAGCAGAGACCAGTTTTTGTCTTTCGTCAAGTCTAGCACAGTTATGTTAAAGATAGTTGTATGTTAGTTCACTTCATGAATGTTTATGTTTTTTAATTTATATATTGTGATTTGACAATCAGTATGTATATAATTATTAGTCTCACTGTCAGAGTTTTTAATGTATTGTAGGACCAGTAAGATAGCAAACAATTTTGCCTGATTATTTGAACAATAAGATCCAAGTCTAAATTGTTGTGAAGTATTAACTGTTCCTTGTCACACTCTACAGTAACAGCTCCCAGCTTGTATTAGTCCTTATTGCCATCTATAAAAATATTAATGGTTGAGTTACTTTCAGTTTTTGTTACATCTGGCTTTATAAGGTCTTTATGGTGTATCCATAATTTGTAAGGAATTGTTTTATCAATTCTATTTACCAGAACATCAGCCATATTTTGTTTCAGTGTTGTCAATTTTAACTTACTAGCTATTTCTATAGTTAAGATAGAGATTGGAATGAATTTTGCAATTAAACAAGATGTATCATAAGTTATTGTCCTTTATCTTTTAATGATTTTAACCTGTTTGCTGCTGCCTTTGATGAGCTTTACATTTACCACAGTGCTGAATAAGCTGGCGGCCTGACTACCGCCCTGTGCTACATGCTTTTTACCTGCTTTCCATCCTTCGTTACTGGCTCTTACGACTACCTTATTTTATTGTTTCCATCCTCCTTTTAGATTCTCGCTTTGGACTGACACCGGTGGAGTTTAAACTTTTTTAAAATTTTTTTTTTGGAGGGACAACTTCTTTAGGCGCGTTTTGCACTTTATTGTGGAGAGTGAATTAGATTGATGCATCAGATTTTGTTTGGTATTAATGCTCTGGTAATGTCAGCTAGAAATGACTATTTGAAATGTTTTTACATATGGATTAAAATATTTCAGAAACTAAAAATCGGGCCTGCATACAGTAAGCGAGGAATTTTCGCCATTTCATCCTCTCTTTAATAGACTATAATTCAAAATTAACGTGATTCTGTGTTAAGAGGGGCAATAGAAAAAAATAGTGTCGTAAACCAAATGATAACGAGTTTAGTTAAATATACGGATTAAAATATTTCAGATTCTAAAAATCGGACCTGTATACTGTAAGCGAGAGAATTGTTCAGAGTTTCATTTGCGTCAACTGAGTACCAATTAATGTAATGTAGATCACTTACTGCGAACAAAATCGGTAATATCCCGATGGTTAGAAATTGGTAATGAAGATAAACGTGATTTTCAATGTTTCAATAGTATGGGCATCTATTCTACTGAGTTATTTTTGTTTAGAGTCTGTTTCATGCAGTATAAGCCTCTTTTCCACCTCTCAACAGCAAAGGATTTTGGTAAACGATGTGTCGAAAGATAGCAAATTTTATAAAGTGATAACGAATCCCGATTCAAGATATATAATTGGCCTACAATAAAAATGTACTCAGTTGACGGAAAATTTGATACTCTACAACTTTGATTATATGTTTTTTTCCTCTTAGGGAACTCATTACCAAGTTACAGCACCATTTGTAGTAATTTGTCTCAGTTTTTGACAAATTTGGTAAAAATCAGCATTGGTTGACTGTGGTTTTATACCTTACAGCGTAACCAAATTATAAAGTTTATGTACTCGTTTGAAGCAAAATTTAACGTTCTTTAATTTATTAAAGAATACATTTTTCTCTTGCGTTGTTTAGGAATTATAGGTAAAAAAAAACAAACATCGAAAAAATCTGACTTTTTTGGCTGTAAAAAGTTTTCTCTTGGTGGCCCGGATTAGTAATTTTCTTTTTTTACATGTCTAAACCCATACAAGTTAAAAAAATAAAAACTTTTCTCTCATTTTTCGGATTTGCCGTTTCGATCCTCAGGTCAATTTTTGGGCCCTGGCTACAGAGTGTATTCAGTGTGGCAGACTGTATTAATACTCAATAAAATAAATTGAAAAATTTATTTAGAATTAAAAAGAACAATTATCATTTAGATAAATAATATATTTATTGGCTTAAATACAATATAGCCATATGAGTCTGGCCCAATTAGTTTTAGTTTAACAAGAATCACTTTTTTTTTGTAGAGAGAGAGAGAGAGAGAAATACTTTATTATAAGTAATGCTGGCCTACTACTTAGGGTTCCATATGGACATAAGTATTATATTAATTTTTCTATGGTTTTATATATATATACATATACATATCACCGCTCCCCCTTTTTCATAACACTAGTCCTATAAAGTACCAACAATAAACCATATCAAGCTATAAACTTTAAATAACATATACATATTCTTAAAACACAAAAATTTCAAATGCCAGGAATTCAACACTATATTGCATATATATATATATATATAAAATATTACAATGTTTTTTGTTTTTTTTATAATTCAACCTTTATATATTATAACAGAAGACCTATTATCCGACTATAATTCATATCTTAAGTTATATGTGTATGTATATATATATATATATATATATATTTTTTTTTTTTTTTTTTTTTTTTTTTTTTTCCTGTTGGCTCTACAGACCTTGTAGATCTTTGGCCACCTGAACCAGCCTTCTCCGCCTCTGTCTTGGTCTACTGCTTTCCAGTTTGTGGCATGAAGCTCAGCCGTATCTTTGTTTATCCTGTCTATCCATATATATATATATATATAAAATAAAGGAATTCACGTGTTAGGACGAGGTCTATCCCGAGATAGGAGGGACAGCACTGATCTTAGTTCTAACTATCCGCTTTGAGAGCAATGACCTCGATCAGGCGGGTGAAGTGGAAAGGGACAAATGTATTGACATATACAACAAATGTATCCCTTTACTGATAAAGAAATTCCACGAGACCATCCGGGAGAGAGAGTTCACTGTGAGAGGCCTCTGGTTTGGCTCTCACGGAATGATCCCAAAAATAACATGGAGCTTCCTCAAGGAACTAGGTGTTGATGTTGGGAAGCACGCAATATTGGCCGAGAATATTATTTTGAACATCCTGGGAATCATTCACTATCATTTATAGATTAATTAAGGATGTCTTTTATTAATTATTTATTCAATTTTAAATTTTTTTAGCATTGTCTTATCTTTTTATCTATATTCGTGGAATTACTTTGGTATATATATATATATATATATATATATATATATATATATATATATATATATATATATTTTTTTTTTTTTTTTTTTTCTTACATTTCTGTCTTTCTGTATTATTCTAAAAGGACTCGTCCCAGAATAAATAAAGTATTATTATTATCAATCCTTGCCATTGATTTATGAATTAATGTTTGTCATGAATGTTACAGGCTCTAATCAAAGCAAATTACACCATAGATATGGAAGATGATTGTTATGCTGCCATCCCATCTGCTTTAAGAATTATTCCTAGAACACTGTTGCAAAATGCTGGTGGTAAAGTGATTAGATCAATGAACGAACTTGAGAAACAACATAATTCTGGTTAGCATATTATGATATTATACAGTGGATCAAAAACGTATTGGTGCAATAAGTGTTTTTAGATTTTATTGTGAAAAAATCAAAAATTAATTTGTTAAACATTATTATTTAATAATAGATTAAGAAAAATATGTATTTGGAAAACATTTTTTAATTTACTTCAGCAAACAAAAAATCACTTCGTCAGTCAAAAAAGTATTGACACGCTTTAATTTAAGGTTTATTTTATAAAGTTCACGAACTGGATATATACTAATATTTTGTCATCACATCATTGGCATCTATGAGGCTTGTTTCACACCTACCCGGCAGTCGGATAAACGACATCGGGCCGGCGCCGTACCGACATAGTCTCGAAACTTGATCGTTTTCACATTAGCACGACTGCCGGATAAACGACATCGGGCCAGCGCCGGGTAAACGACATTTGGACGGCATTGACACATGTTGAATATTCTTATTCTCGCTTTAATTAAATAATACTCTTATTTAAATAGTTAACCTTGAAATTAAATTTCTAGCAAATATCACATGTTGAATATTCTTATTCTCGCTTTAATTAAATAATATTCTTATTTAAATAGTTAACCATAAAATTAAATTTCTAGCAAATATCACAGTGAAAAATGAGTAAAAATATTGTTTTCATAGTGGACACTTTCACAGCGGTGTTACCGCATTTTTTCTGAATAAATACTTCATTCTGTTCAATATGAGTGGCTTCATATCAAAGACAGACTTGTCATTTTTAATAAGTTGAGTCCGTGGTACCTTTTCATCGAATTATTAACATCTTATCTTAACCTGCAACTATTTTATTTACGAAAAATCTTGGAATTGGGGTGTTTTCAATCTGGAGGGGGGCAAACTTTATCTATTTAATGAAGTACTAAAAACTCGTAAATACTCATTTGCTTTCTACTTGGATCGTAAGATAATTTGATCACAAAGTCGAGAAAAAAGGTGGCCTCCAAAAATATTGAGCTGTTCGGCGTGACCTACACCCCCAAATTTTCAAAATAACGAGGCTATATAGGACAAATGGCCCAATATTTTTGTAGGCCACCTTTTTCTATCAATTTTGTGATCAATTTATCTTTCGATCCAAGAAGAAAGCAAATGGGTATTTACGAGTCTTTAGTACTTAATTAAATAGACAAAGTTTGCCCCCTGCCAGATTGAAACCGCCCCAATTCCAAGAGTTTTCGTAAATAAATTAGTTGTAGGTTACGATGGGATGAAACTATTTATAAAGTTTCAGGCGGATGTTAATAATTCGATAAAAAGGGGTCTGTACCACGGACTCTGAAAAGTAGACAATTTTTTGTAATATTGCTTTAATTTAAACCAATGCTAGTGATTTTTTTTTCATAATTAAACTTATGACATGATGAAATTATCAAAAACAGTTTGGCATGAACCTATTAAATAAAAATTAATTTTATCTCTATCTTCAGAATGACATATGCCTGTCTCTGATATGAAGCCTCTCATGTACTAAAAAAACTCATTTTTTAACTGTAGTTAGTAATATAAGTTAAACAATTATTTAAAAAAAAACTTATTGTAAAATATCCATTCATCCAACATATAGTATTTCCAAGTCTAATTTAGAATTTTCCAAACCAAATTGGGATTTAAAAAAAAAAAGATGTAACTTTTCAAACCAAATTCGGATTTCATATTTTAAATATCACATACCAATGAATATGTGATATTTAAAATAATCTTTCGGGAAAAACACCCTTTTTTTGTTAATGGATTAAAACATTTCTCAATTTTTGTTACCATTTTTGACATTTATCATGGATCATCACAGCAACCAATTGTATTGCTGGATAAATAGTAAAATATCGTTTCCTCAGGGAAGTGGAACATCCAAAGCCATAATCCTTTTTTGAGTTCATCTATGAGGATACAAAAATATTATTCAATTTCTTTTAAGATTATTATCTTTATTATAGACAAAATTATACTATAGACACTTTTTTTCTTTATTTTTTTGACATTAAATTAATATGAAGTTATATTATATTGATACCTGTTTTAGGTATGTGAAAAGTTTGTTTCTTCTTTATGTATGTTTAATTTTGAATCTGTTTTTGTGTACTCATATATTTATTCTATTCAATAATTTTTTCACTTTGTTGAGACATTTTATTTATTTATACCGCTATTTATTTATTATTATTTTGTTGATTTATGTAATGTTTTCTTTATTTCGTTATTCATTTTACTTACTTTCTTTTTCTTTTATAATATATTGTTGTGAATGGAATGTGAATGTGCTCTTTGAACACTATTATAAATGTCCTTAATTGGGACAGACCGTAATATCTTCCAATAAATATGTTGAGTTATAATATTTTATAAGTATTACTTCGGTTCAAATTTTTAGATTTTAATACTATTAATAACTTCTAGATATTAATGAAATCTTGTACAACAATATATTTTGTATCAATTTATTTATAAAAAAAAGTTGTCTAACATCGATGTGATGTTTTTGCATGATGTATGCACTTTTCTATTTATTTTTTATTTTTTGCGGAATATATGACTCTTCCGTAGGTTTATTGCAGTGAAAAAAAAAAAGAAAAAAAAAAAAGAAATATATAATGGCCAAAAATAAATAGGGATACTTCTATTTGTTGCTTATTTGATTTGTTTTTATAATAATATACTTTTTTTTTGTTCGTTAGGGATTCTCTTATCTGTTGGTAAACATAAAAAGTCAACAAGTATTTTCCTTTTTTAATAAAGTATTAGATAAAAGATAGTTAACATGAAGAATACTCTTTTTGTAAACCAACACTTGTTTTCAACTTTTCTCAATTTTAATACAGGAATATTCTGTTTAATGAAGAAAATACATCATATTGAACCATAACTTCACAATATTATCCTCAGAAAGAGCTGTCAAGGGCATCGGTGGTGAATACCCCCGTTATAGTTGCGTCTCCCATATTGTTGTTTTCCGAGCTTTAACCTGATTCAGAAAAACCCAAAGTATTAATTGGAGCCCTGTTAGTGGATGAGGATCTTAGTACATTAATCTCTAAGGGATGGCAGAAATATTGGTTTTACTGCAAGAACCAAACCTTTTCACAGTCTCTAATAGAGTCTAAATGAAGTGTTGAATGTTCTCTCTAGCCCCATACCAACACAAACCGTTCTCAATTTTTTGTGGGAAGTTTATCTAATATCTAATGCCCGTTTAAAATGGCAAGCAGCAACAGTGGATCGTGGACAACTCCACAGACTATGGTGCAGCATATTCCTAGATGACGATACAAATTGGAATGCTGCAATGTTTACAAACAAGTCGCGTTTCTTTATTATATTATATTATATTATATTATATTATTGTATTGTGATCTTAGGTGCTTCAGTTTTTACTGAGAACCGGGTATGAGTGCACTGCCACAGTTTGTGCTTTCTTAACTTTCATCAACTGAAAGCAGTGTTGCTATGTATATGGGATGAAATTCCTTGTGAAATCAGTGACAATATTATAAACAGTATGCTCAATAGGTGCAGAGAATTAGTGCGTAACATAGGATATTACACCGATTATTAAATTTCCAAAATGTTTAAAATTTGATATCATAAAGTCAAGATCACATAAACCTTTAATTTTATTATTTTTTAAAAGCAGCTTTAATAAAATTTCCGAAGGACAAATACAATCTTATTTATATTAATTTTCAATGTAATTTATTATAAAAATAAATTAAACATCCAATGGAAAATAATTCACACACAGCGAACAATATACCTATTCGTTTTATCGCAGTATATTTAGGTTAGACTTGTACTGCACTGATAAGAGCAGTGAAAACCTAACCTATGATTTGCATGACACCGTCAGTCGTCCAAACGTTGCCGGGTACTTAGAACACTAGCACGACTGCCGTCTTGCCGTTTATCCGGCAAATAAAGATTGTCGTTTGTCATTTGGACGACATTAGCACGGCAAAGTGTCGTTTAAACGACAACGACAATTGCTGGACTAGTGTGAAAGGTCCCTATTAGTTTCAGTCTTGATACTAGTGTCCGGCGTCGTTTAAACGACAGTCGGGTAAGTGTGAAACTGAATTGTCGTTTAACCGGCAACGACTATGCCAGATAAACGACAGCACGACAATTTCGTGTCGTTTAAACGACGACAAAAATCGGGTTAGTGTGAAAGCTCCCTATTACTCTCTCCCGAATGCAGTGTACACGGCGTCTTTTACCCGGCTGCCTAAGTGAAACAAGCCTGATAGTCTACAATCTTCTTGGCATCAACCAAACATGATTTTGAGTTACGTCTTGTCCGATTTTATGCCGTTCCTCTGACAAAGTTCCTTTTGAATAATTATTTGAAGAAATTTCATTTTTCCTTACTTTTAAATCCAACAAGTACCGTAGGTATTCTATGACTATTAGATTTACATCCTTTCATATAATAATATAATTTATTATATATTTTATAATAAGTTTTTGTATATGCTTCACACTGGAGCTTTTTTTGGGTCCTCCCCTTCCTCACCTTTAAGGCTGTATGGGGTTTTCCTGGGCCAGGGGGTGAGGTCGGGGATTTAAAAGACTCCCGGCACCGGGACGCAAACTCCTGACTATTTTTATATCCGGTTATCTACGTATCAGGTTGCCGGGCAACGGCGGTGTTGTGCACACACGTTAGCCCGTTCGGCCACCCCACTCCTCACTTCACACTGGGACTCCTGTTCTCATTTGTTTTTACCTTTCCTTCACTGACGGCATTATCTCCAGGGCAGAGATTAAGTCCAGCACCATTCTCTCCTCACTTACTCACCTACAGGCAACCAGAGAATACTATAAATTGTGACGTAAATTAAAAAGTAGTGGCCGAAAAACTGGGAATCAAAGATACATTCATCTTCCAACAGGACAATGACACCCAAGCACACAGCAAATAGAAAAAACTAATGGATGCAGTACAGTGTTCCCAGGCAATTGAAAACTCCACCACTGTCACCACATGTGATATGAGAGGGAGCCCTTTTCTTATATGAATATACAACATAATTAAAATTCTTGAAATATTTGTGATTGATTTTGGCAATTAATACTGTTGGAGTCTGGGGTATTTCAAAATTAAAATACAAACCTTTCCCCGGTGAGTTTCCTCAAAGGTGGGGAAAAAACGAGCAAAATTAAACTATGGGAAAGAAGGGAAAAAGTTAGTGAGAATGAGACCTATAAAACCAGGTTAAACACATACACATCAAAGTTTTAAAAAATACAAATATTATTAAATCAATAATGGAAAATAAATAATCATCCTTTTTTTTAAATGTTCTCAATATTTATTATATTGAAATAAAAAAGAGATGAAAATATGTATACAAATGTTGAAAACAAAACAAAATGAAAGAAATTAAAATGCACTGAAATCAAACCAAACATAAAATATAATATTCTGTGAAAATAAAAACAAATTATCAATTAATAATAAAACAAAAATTAAATGAACTTCTAAAATTGTAGATCAGTAATAAGAAAAAAACATTAACTAGAATACAATTTAACATATAGAAAAGCTTTAAAAAAAACTTATTTAGCCTGGGAAAAAATTAAAGTAATTTAATGTCTTTCGTGACAGATGAGAAAAATTAAACATATCCAAGTTGAAGGCACTACTTCCAAAGATTTTTTTTTTTTAAAGCGGCACGAGTGCATTGCGGCCATGTAGGCCTATTGTACGCCTTATTTAAAGTCACTCCTGTTTAGAGTGTAATTAATTCCTGCAGCCTCAATGAAGTGTAATAAACTTGTTTGATTGATAAACTTGTTTGTCTTGAGATCTTTCTCCCCATCGATGCCGAATAATCGGAATCTTAATCCAGCAAACCTATTTCACCAGCAAGTAATATGATAAGCTGTCTCATCCTCCTGGCCAAGGTACCTGCAAAGAGACGACTCTGTGAGCCGGAGTTGGAACATATGATAATTCAGTTTACAGTGCCCTGTATGTGCTGCTATAATTTTCTTAAGTGAGCTCCTGCTCAGATTAATTAGTAAGTTACTTCTTTTTTGACAGATTCCTTCCAGAAACAATCTAGAGTGGGTTTGTTTTTTCTAGCACCAGTTCTTTTTAGTTTCAGCACCATACATCTCTCCGATTCTGTTTGTTATTGGACACTGACTAATTCCACAGATGGATTAGCTATAGGTGTCATTTGTGAGCCTAGTCTAGCTAGTTCAGCCATCTCATTGCTATGTATTCCAGAGTGACCCGGAACCCATTCAATGTTTACCTTATTAAGTCTGGATAAGTCATTGAGAATTTTAACACAATCCCTAACAGCCTTAGATCTAGTTGTATAGTTGTCTAGTGCTCGTATGGCCGTTTAAGTGCCAGTATATATTGCACTTATCCTCCCAACCAACCTGTGAAGCAACATTTTTGAAGCACAGTGAGTTATCGACAGTATTTCAGATTGGAACACTTGCATAATTTCCTTGCATTATAATTGTTTAAATCAGAACCCGTCTTTCCAAAATTGTGTACAATATTTTACAAATTTATTCGCTATTTGTCAGTAGCTAAGCCCTGTCAAATGTAATTTAAAGGTTTTTTTTTTCAAACTGGATCAATATTCACTGTTTTTACCCATGGCAAATATACAGGAAATACTGATTTTTAATGTAGTCATTGTATTATTGTCAATCATCATTTCTAATTGCTGAAAGAAAAAGGATCAATTTGTTATGAATGGAGCTAATATTAAACATTTAAAACTGCTAATTCTTTTTGACTCTCAGAATTTACTCTTTATGTTTACTTTAAACATAGCTTTTGAATTCCAAACATTCATTGCTTCTACAAGTCAATTCTCAAGGACTACTTTATCAAAGAAATATTAATTCTGGAAAATATTTTAATCCTATTGTGATTTGCAGAAAAAATAGAGTGTGCAAATACTGTCTTGATCAACTGTATCTAAATATTTTCTAAAAAATTTATTTTCTCTAGATGTCTGAGATATTAATATTATATGCATTGTTTGGTTTTGATTATTGTTATTTCATCCTATTGTGTATTAGTGAATTACTGGTATTGGTACCGGCAGGGGAACTAGTACAGCTACCCTGTGGTCTTTTGTTTCTTTTTGCCCACTCTTGAGGTATGGGTATGGGTATCTAGAGGTTGCCACCATGTAATAATCCAAGTTAGTGTCAAGATTGGGGTGGGATTGCCATATGGGCTAAGGCGTGTCCACAGCACTGTGGTTGTCCTGCAACCTTATATATAGCAATTCCAAATAAATTTTAACGTTTTTTAAGTCAAATTCAACCTTTTCCATTTCAAATTCAACCTTTTTTTATTTATTTAATTATTTTAAATTGTTCGATGTATGGGCCAGTTATCGTATGCGTAGTTTTTGAAAATAACCTCCATTTTAACATTACGCCTCTGCGTTTAAATTTATTTAAGTTTTTCGGATGTATTCGATGTAAGGGTGTATTCTTATGTTTTTGGGACCATGAATTATGAAAATGGCCTCCATTTTAAGATTACACTGCTGCGTTTCGACTTATTTAAGATTTACTGATTTATTTCATATAAGGGTGTATCCTTATGTTTCCGGAGCCGTAGATTTTTAAAATGACTTCCATTTTAAGATTACGCTGCTGCATTTTGACTTATTTAAGTTTTTCCGATTTCTTTGATATAGGGGTATATGCTTATGATTCTCGAGCCGTGGATTTTGAAAATGACCTCCATTTTAAGATTACGCCACTGTGTTTCGGTTTGTTTAATTTTTTTATATTTTTTCTTTGATTTAAAAAAAATACGAAAGATTAATTTATTTTTCAGCAGAAATAAATAAAATATCTATTTTCTCATTTTTAAATTTAATTTTAGTTTTCTTTTTTAATATTGCGCTATCCTCTTATAAAATTATATAAGATACGAATTGCGAACAATTAGCTGAAAAATCTAAAAATGATGGGTTAAATCTATTACCAGTTGCATTTTGGTTTTTTAATTTGTGTTTTGGGGTTAATTTAACCTCAGCTTTATAATATTTATTTATTCATACTAGAAAACATATTGATGAAACATTGTATTAAAAAAAAGCTCGATCGAGATACAGCATCGTAATCTTGAAATTAAGATTCAATATTAGATAAATTTAAATATGAGAGGTTAGATAAATTTTAAATACTATATCTCCAATTACATATAAGTAGATCCTTATACCGAATGAGTCCAAAAAACTTAAATAAGCCAAAACACAGTGGCATAATCATAAAATGGAGGTCATTTTCAAAAACCACATCTCCGACAACATATAAATAGACTCTTATATCAAATAAATTCGAAAAAATTAATTAAGTTGAAACACAGTGGCCTAATCTTAAAATAGAGGTTATTCTTAAAATCAACCGTTCCGAAAACATAAGAATACTCCCTTACATAGAAAAAATCTGAAAAACTTAAATAAGTCGAAACGCAGTGGCGTAATCTTAAAATGGAGTTAAGATTAAATTAGGAAAGGTTTAATTTGAAATAGGAAAGGTTAAATTTTACTTGGAAAAAGTTTAGTTTGATTATGAAAAGGTTGAATTTGACTTGGAAAAGGTTGAAATTGACTTGGAAAAAACTGAATATGACATGGAAATATACCAAAAAAATCTGAATAGTAAAGATAAATGGATAAACAACCGTGTTATCACTTTTTTTTATTGTATTTTTCTAAAGCTATGCCTCCAATAATATAGGGAGTGACCTTTATTTAGAAAATTTACAAAAATTCTAAAGTTGAATTTGAAACGGGAAAGGTTGAATTTGAAATGGAAAAGGTTTAATTTGACTTGGAAAAGGTTGAATTTGATTTGGAAAAGGTTGAAATTGACTTGGAAATGCTATATAAGATAACTGAATAAAAATAGTCCCGAGTTCACATCCCGGTGTGGGAGGAGAATTTTAACTCTGCTGTTAACCCCGCCCTCACTCCCTGGCCTGAGAAAACCGTATAGCCTTAAAGGCAAGGAATGAGAGGAAAAGTTCGTGTCAAGATTCATTTCTTAAGTCTGCTGAGATATACATTTTAATTGATCCAGATGGGAATCGATTTAATTAGGTTCCAAACTGGGCACTCTGGGACCTCTGGGACCCTTGCCCCAACGTGCTATGCCCATGTTTTTGTATTAGTGAATCAAGTTACTGAATTCTTTGTTAACTAGTTATACGTTATTCATTCTAATGAATTATTGTAATTCTTTTATTTAAATATGATTGTTTGTTTTCATTACTTATATTACAATTTTTTATTTACATTGTTTAGGTATTCTTAAAGGAGTTGATGGAATAACTGGAGAATTAAAAACTGTTGAAGAATTAGGTGTATGGGAACCCTATTCAGTCAAAGTCCAGATCTATAAAACTGCTATTGAGGTGATACATGATAATTTTTTCTTTTAAAATATTTCTTAATTTTTAGGATGCATTTGTATGCTGTAATGGTATGTTTAAAATCTATCAGTACCCTCGTGTTCATTAAATATTGTTAAACACTATCTAGTAATGCTAGCTCAACAAATAGTAATGTTAATTCATTTTATAGTATTAATGCTTCAATAGTAAAGAAGTTGAGGTGAGAATGGTGCACATCGCCCTCTAGGTCAAGATAAATGAACTCATTAGGAGTTTTATTTGCTACAATTAAAATATTTTTGAGCATTATTCATTTAAGTAAGTTTTTATTAAATATTTCAAACTATTTATATTTTGTCTCTCTTTTGTTTCAGTCAGCAATTTTATTGTTGAAGATTGACGATATTGTTTCTGGTGCTAAGAATAAAGATAGGGAAAGAAATAGCGGCTCTGTAGCGCAACCTACTGAAGAATCACTTAAAGAATAATTTCCTTTATTATGCAATAACAAATATTTGTATTAATTATTTAATTATTCAATTGTGTTACTTAACACCACTGCTGCTAATTCAAGCTCATCAAATGTTTCTTTAATAAATTAACTTTTTATACTACTTTTTAAACCTTTATCCATTGATTTAAGATATTCAATAAAATGAAATGTCTGACCTGCATTTTGATTGAGAATATTACTTAAGGAGCTCACATGTTCACCTCTCATGTAACTTGGCTAAGTTAGAGTGAGGATGAATCACCCCAAGTATTCAAACTTCTGAAATTGTTACTAAATCTCATTTACCTAATAATGTTAATTAAATTTCACTGTAGGAGATTATCTTTATTATACAAAACCATTAAATTGCACAAAAATATATTTGTCATGACCTGGATGTCTACTAGTTGGGAAAATCAGGAATTTGTCTGGGATTCCCTATAAATTTTGCAAAAGTTGGCAAAGTTATCATAACTTCTAAACTTGAATATATTTTAATTTTCATAAACTTTTACTTTAGTTACTTTTAGCTATATATATTTAATTTTAATTTTAGAAGGACAATTAAGTTTACATTTAATTAATATACAATTATTGCAATAGCAATTAAAAATTGTTTCATTTGCAGCTCCGGTAATGTATACTATTTTTATAATTATTTTTCTTTATCTTGTTAGTTTCAGAAATTTTCAAGAATTTATTTAATTCAGTTTTTTCCTTTTATTCAGTTATAACTTTTAAGCAGTAGTTTACTTTTTTTCTTTAGTTTTAATTATTAAAACATGTGCTGATTGTGAAGATAAAATGTAAATCGTTTGGTTAGGTATTAAAATGCTAATTTCAAACCATCTATTAATGAGTGTTTGTTCCTCAGAAGTCGATCTCATTTGTGCTTATCCTTATGTTAACAGCGTTAAAATCTTTTGTTTATTATTTTAATTAATTTATTTTAATTAGTAACTGCTTCTTGTTTTATTTTCAATAAGCTTTAAAGTTTAAATATTAAAAAAAGAAGACAAATTAAATCAGCTGTTTTAATTGGTAATTTACTATTTAGTTGTAGTTTATAGGCTTCATTATTATGGAGTGTATTATAGCCTTACATATGTACAAGTGCTATGTTTTAAGATTTTTAAGCCCATGAACTTGTTTAACATAGGTTGTTGGTATGCATAGACATCCTTTATACTTTACTATTCCCTTGCTGTCCCTAACTGCCTGAGATCAGAGTCCATCTATTAAACCTCCCTTCTATAATACAGGGACATTTGGTGGAGATAAAGGTCTCTTTCTTATTAACTCCTCTATACACTCCCTACAACTTAAATTTAACTGATAAAAAATGTTCTTATTATGTTTGCTATTATAATGCTTCTAAAATTCTTTTTTTTATTATTATACTTTTACCTAAATAAAATTTCTTGGTTCAAACTATTTAAATATTACTCTGAATATTTAAGAGGTAGGCTAAAAGCTAAACAATTTTTTTTATTGAAAACATTCTTTTCTCCATTCCACTGGAAGGATAGTCAGTACAAGGAGGTAACAGTTACTATACGATAACTTGTTTTATAATTATCTTTAAGTGACTCAATAAATATTTAGTGCGGAGGGAATACATTTGCTCTTTTCACACGTTTTAAAAAGAGCGTCTGTTCTGGAGAAGACAAGAAAACTCTTGGAAAGTATGAGGTTTGCTGTAACCTCTTTATCATATGTATCAGTTTTCTCATTTATATTGATTTTTTGGTGTTCATATGTCAAGAAAAGCCATCTTTAGTTATTATTTTCCTTATTTCTGTAATATAATTAATTAGTATTTATTTATTTTAATTGATGATGTTTTGCACCCTCTTAGTTCAGCTTTTATATTAAATAAAAACTTATATTGTCGTTTTTATATTTGAACTCAACATAAAAACCACTTATTAACAAACGCTAAATAGGATATTAAATAAGTTTGACAAAATAAGTTTTATGAGCTCAAGCAAAACAAACCTTCAAGCAATTCTATTTGAAATTATATTGCTTGGTAATATAGGAATGATAAAAACAGTATTACTTTGCTTTACAAAACATATTTTTATCTCTTTTATTATTTGTACATTTAAATACTTGTGTGCATGCCTTTAGTGTGAAATTGAGGTTTTATTTTTAAAAAAAATATTGTAAGAGTATGCCAAATGAACACAAACCTCAAATGTTATCTCTACTAGCATAAACCAATGGGGTGCCCATAACGGGATTTCATGGCGCAAGTTGTGCCATCAAAATCTTTGAGGAAGGCATATTTTGACGTGTTTTTGAATTTTGATGGGGTTATGAATTTTCGGACTAAGGGACAAGGGGAAAATATAGAACAGACCGCAGAAAGTATAATTGTATATGATCTATGGTTTTTCTAATTCTACTTTAGCTTCTTCTGTTTTTAAGAAAAGGTAAGCAATAAAATATATTGGGAGGATGGGGGCAGGTAAGTTCTTGCGCCATTGACCTTAGAGGGGGGATGGACATCCCTGAACCATTACTTTAATTTTTATTCACTCATTTACATCTTATATTTTTTAATTGTTAAATATCAATTCAGTTATATAATTATGTTAACTTAGCTGACCTGGCATTCAATGTATGTTTGAAATTGATTAAATTTTCAATATGTTTTGTTATGTGAATAGATTCCAAGAACTTTATGATTTTTGCCTCTGTAGCCTTATTTAAAATTTAAGCATTATTAAAATTAAAATTATAATTATATAGTTTGTCAAGTGTACGTATTATTGGGATTATTAGGGTTTGATTTGTGGAGTATCTAATTCAATATGGGTCAGGGTATACTTCAAATTTAATTTTGTTAATAAAATTTAGGATATCTAAGTAGGATACTATCTAACTTAAAATATTGCATGAGCCAAATTTTAGATTATAAGTATGATCAGGCTTGGTGAATGTTTTTATAATCGTATCTGTAATTGTGGAACGTATTTTAATTTTTTTAAAAATATATTGCTATTTACTGTTGTTACTTTTAAATAATTAACTAAGTAATTTACTGTTATCAATTATTTTAAAGTAATTAACTTTTTTTTTGTCTATTTACAGTGGTTTAATCATTATGCTTCTGTATAATTTTAAATGATTTCTTACCAGCTTTGATATTACTTTCTTTCCCATTTTAACCCAAAATTAATTATAAAGAAATAGCTCTCGTCACATGGACTTCCCTATTGGATCATGGGACGTTTTATCATTATGTAGACCAGAGGACAAAAATTGCTCCTAGATGAAATTTACGGTTATAAAAATTGACATAACTGCCCTCCAAGAAATTCGATGAACTGTACAGGGAGTAATCGAAAAAAATGATCACACTACTATAGCTGTAATAAGATTCACATATTTGGAAGTGGATTTGTTTTGAAAAGAAGATTTAGACATCTGATAATTGACTTAAAACCTGTGAACTCAGGACTATGCAATATCGTGCCGTCACTGAAGCATCAGTTGAACAATACAAGAAGGATTTTTACGATCTGCTGGACAGAACAGTTAGATCATGCCCTTTCTCTAACATAAAAATAATTGCAGATTATATTTCTAAGGTTGATAAGGAATCATTCTATATACCTACCATTGGAAGGCATAGTTTCCATGAAACCTGTAATGAAAATGGCCAGAGACTAGTCAACTTCTGTGCGTCACAGTTATGGTTCAGTTGTTGGGACCAGTCTTTTCTCTCATAAAAGGATCCATCTAGGTATCTAGAGATCTCTCAACGGGTTACGATGTACCAAATCAATCATTTCCTGGTCACCAGAAGACATAAATCCAATCTTCTAAATGTTAACCAACATGGTCGCAGGTTATTTTCTATCATACGAGTGAGTGAGAGCTTGAATCTCGTAGGATAAGCCAACACGAGGTCAAAGAACCAAGAAGTTTAACTCCTCAAAATTCAAAGATCCTCAAGAATGAATAATATTTGTCCAACAAAGTAACAAAAATTTGGTGAACAGACCACATTCATTAGATACGGATGTTGATCAGATATCAAGAATTAAGGCAACAGTATATGAGGCAGCTGAAAAATTACTGGTTTTAAACAGTTCGAGAGAAGACTTCCATGGTTTGATGAAGAATGTCAATTGGTCACTGATAAAAAAAATGGAGACAGCCACTGTCTTCTGAATTCTTCAAGGAAGGTGGAGATGAGCTTATAAAGCTGTTACATAACCTAGTTTTGATTTGGACTGATGAAGTAATACCAAAAGATTGGAATAAAACAATTCTCTGCTGTATACTTGAGAAAGGCAGTTTGCTTGATTGCAAAACTACCGCTGCCGTATTTCGCTGTTATCATGTGCCTATAAAATCTTCTTCAGTATACTTTACAAGCACCTCCTGCCGCATGTTGAAAAAATCTTGGGGAGATATTAATGTGGTTTTCGCCAGAAGTCCACAATTGATCAGATATTCCCTTACTCATTATTATGGAGCATGACTGAGAGTACCAGATACATACACACCTCTTATTTAAGGATTTCCAGTTAGCCTACGATAGTGTTCAGTGCGAACTTCTATACCAGGCCATGAACATTTGTAATATCCCAACAAAACTTACATGCCTGGTAAAACTGATTTTGGTGAAGATCGAAAATGTGGTGTGTATTCAAGGCGATCTCTCTCAAGGATTTACAGCTATTAACGGAGTCCGAGAAGGAGACTCCCTTGCATGCATATTGTTTAACGTAGGTTCAGAAATAGCGATCAGATATATAGGAATCCCCAGACAAGAGGAACCATCTTCAATTATTCAATGTAGGGCATGTATAATTGAAGATGTACTCCTGTATCAAGATGTACTCCTGTCAAAATATCCAAGAAGCACATAGGAAAAATCCGGCTATCTTTATCATGCCGATGGAGGTGCTTCTGCAGGAAATCATGCCCCGTAAGTATTCTAAATCATGCCACGGATTGCCCTCTAGGGAGGATCCTGCCACTTTTTCCCAGCATTCTACTCCATCGCTTCCCTTCAATTTTTTGTGCATATTTCTCCTTCAGTGAACATTGGAGGGTTGTTATATTATTCTTTTAGTTTAATCCATGCCCTGAGGAATATCTGCTTGGATCATTCCAGAACCTATTCTGGCCAGTTTGTCAGCCTCGTCATTTCCGTGGAGGCCGCAAGTGGAATCACTTACGTGGATGTTAGGGGTAGGGGGAGAGACACGGCCCTCCCTGGAAGTTGGAAAAAAGTTCCAAAAAGTATATTTGAAGAAAAGAGAAATATAGGGAAAATTCATCCTCATAGACGAATTTCCTAATGTAATATAAAAAAATAATTATTATCGTGACAAGCACTAGCGAATTCTGGCGGGGGGCGCGCCCACCCTTGGATGGTGGAAAAAAAATCCGAAAAAAGATCGAAAAAACAGCTATTTAATGAAAAGAGAAATTCTTCCTCATTGAGGAATTTTCTAATGTGATATAAAAAAATATATCATGACCTGTATTAGTGGATCCAACCGAGGGGTGCACACCTCTCTCCCTTGGATGGGAGATTATTATCATGACCATTTTTATTAATCTTACGGTTTGTCATTTCACGTCACATCACCAGGCTGAGAATCAAC